TTACAAGTTCTGTCTAGCTCGTGCTTAACCTTGCTTAGATCCTCCTTAAGGTCTCTTATCTGCTCATCTCTTTTGTACAACTCGTCTTTCATTTTTTCTAGGTTTTCTTCTAATGTGAGTTGTGTGTGATCAGCTTTCTTTTTACATGTTCCTAATTTCAGTTTTAGATTTTCAGATCTTAGCTCTAGGACAGTGGTGCCAAGTTCATGAACTTGGTTCTTTAACTCAGCATTTTTACTATCACTTTCACTAGCCCTAAGTTCCAGATTTTTGCACTTAGCTTTCAAAATCACTCACTCCTTCGACAGTTGTTCCTTTTCGTTGTTTAGATCCTCAAATTCATCAATGAAATCCAGGAGTAACTCAGATAGCCTTTCTTTAGACAAAAATTTAATCTTGTCTTTGAGATGAATTATACTTACCTTAGATTCCTCATCGAATTCTCCAATTGCCATAAGTGATTGTTCATCTCCATCTTCATCCTCTGAGTCCTCATCTGAGCTTTCTCCCCAGGCATCAACCATAGCCTTTGTTGATCCTTTGATCTTCTTGGGTTGAACCTGTTCCTTCTTTTTGTTCCTTCGTTCAGCTATTTCCTTCTTCCATTCAATTTCTCAAATAGGGTAGTTTTTTGATGTGGTGATCAATCTTCCCACACTTGTAACACCCCTCATTGGTTTGTTTTTCAGGAACCCTTGGTTTGCTGTAGCTTCCACTTCTTGAAGGACCCTTTCCTCTCATTAGGTACTTCTTGAAGTCCTTTGTGATCATGGTCATTTCATCCTCCTCTAGATCAGCACCTTCAGTGATTCTGAGTGCCAGGCTCCTTTCCTTCTTGGGTTCATCCATCTTCATGGTTTGCCTTCTAAGTTCATAGGTAGTGAGATTTCCTATTAGCTCATCCAACTTAAGAGTGGCAATGTTCTTTGATTCCTGAATAGCAGTGATTTTGCTTTCCCAAGAGACTGGCGGAACCCTTGTCAAGATCTTCTCAACTTTGTCTTCTTCAAGAATAACCCTTCCAAGAGACTTAAGTTCATTTGTCAGTGTGGTGAACCTTGTATACATCTCCTGGATGGTTTCCCCTTCCTTCATGGTGAAATTCTCATATTGAGAATACAACAGTGTTCCTCTGGACCTCTTCACTTGAGGTGTTCCTTCATGAGCCACTTGCAAAGTATCCCAGATTTCCTTAGCAGTGGTACAACTTTGAATTCTACTGTACTCGTTTGGACCAAGTCCACACACAAGCCATTTTTTGGCCTTTGCATTCCTTTCCCACTTCCTCAAGTCCTCAGCATTGTAGTCAGCTCTTGTTTTTAGCACATCTACTCCTTCAGCATTCTTCTTCATGGTAGCCAGGGGACCATCAGTGACAATGTCCCATAGCTGATAGTCTTCTCTGATGATGTGATCTCTCATCCTGTTTTTCCACCAAGAGTAGTACTGGACATTAAAGAGTGGAGGCCTATCAGTGGATTTCCCTTCCCAGTTTCCAGGTGGTGCGCTCATCTTGATCTGTTCCTAAGGTGTTAGCCTCTTTAAGGATAACCTGCTCTGATACCAATTGTTATTTTATACTTCAATACCACACAAGAGGGGGGTGTGATTTGTGTGGTGAGCAATTTCTCGCTTAAACTGATTATGGAAGGACCTGGTTCTTCTATGTGTTCCTTCTACTACTGTTGCGGAATAATAAATGTAGAAAGTAAAGAACACAAGTATTTTTACGTGGAAAACACCCGACTCAAAAGGTGAAAAAAACCACGACCTACTACTCAGTAGGATTTTCCCCAACACTTCACTAAATCACTGAGCCAAAACAGCATTTACAAAACTCTTTGTAAACCTAAGGATTACCTCTAATCCCGTTGTAGCAACCAACCTCTAACTGTTGCGACAACTTCGAGTTAACTCTAACTTGAATACTCAAAGTACCTATTACAATTGCTTTTAGATAAAGCTGAAAGGTACAATATGAAAACACCTACTACAATTGAACTAGAAATAAAGAAAGACACATAAAACTCTTTATGGAGCTGGTTCTTCAATCTGGTTCATATAGCTTCAGGTTTGCATACTTGAATCACACACTAACTGCTTGCAAAAAGCCTTGCCATTTTGCTCTCAATTCACGTTTAGCTTTTGCATTTTTGTGCAACACAAGTAATGTGAGAACATCCTGCAATTTATAGAGTTAGTAGATGAAGAAATAACTAGAGTTCTGATGCAACTCTTCCTTGATGGAAGAGTTCTAGTTGATTTTAACTTCTAACTCCTTCCCTATCTTGGATAGTGTTCTCTTTGAGTAAGGAGTCCTTCTCCTTATCAATTATGCAACCTTTTTGATCAGGAGATACTAAATACACCAATTTAAGCTTATCTCCTTCACGTGCATCCCTCATGCTCGAATCTGCCCGTTTCTATGCACACAAGGGATGGACCTGGTTCATGCCTGAGTACCTTTTTCAGTCTTCAAAACCAACATTTACTTGGGCCAACAAGGAAATTTTCAGAAATGACTATTGTTTAGGGGCTTATTGTTGGGCGTAGCTATAATTTAGTTAATTACATTTCGTAGCTATTAATTGTTTGCCATGTGATATATGTCGTTGTATTCAATTTGGTTGTAGACACTATATTCAATTCGGATATATTTATTTCTTATATATTTGATATTGTATTCAATTTTACTGTATTGAATTCAGTTGTATTCAAACAACAAAAAATTAAGAAATAAGATATATACCGCTCTATTCAATTCGGTTGTATACACTATATTCAATTTGTCTATATTCGTTCTTAACTATTTTACATTGTATTCAATTCACCATATTTAATTCGACTGTATTCAAATAAAAAACAGTGATATTCGGTTGTATTCAATTCACTGTATTCATTTGTCTCTGCTTTTACAATGTATTCAATTTACTATATTTAATTTGGTTGTATTCAAACAACAAAAATTCACAAAATACAGGGATCTGCCACAAAAAATAACCTTCGAAATATATAAATATAGGCGAAAATAAAAAATAAAAAGATTGCATTTGAATTAAAAATTACAGAATATAATTAAATTTGAGTGTATTTGTATCATTGTATGTGACTCAATAGCAAAGAAGAGAAGAAAGTTCGTAGGAGATGACGTCTTCCAGCCAAGCAAAACACTGTATTCATTGTATTAAAACTAAAAAATGAAGAAAAACAAAAATCCATGTAGATCTGAGAATACACTATCATATTATATCTACCAAACTTCGGTCAGACGAACAAAAATCCGGCCATAATGTGTATTTCATTGTATTTAATTAGGCCACAATAAATAAAATATACTCAAATATGAGAAATACACTCGGATATGAGAAAATACACTCGAATCTGAGAAATTCGGTCAGTTGGCCATGGATTCCAGCCAGAGATGACGACAGCGGTGGAGGTAATGACGAGACCAGTCTGGACTGAAGAATTTGAGGTACTAAATTGAGAAATTTTCATAGCGGGTGAGAGAATAAAGATTACAAAGGAGAGAAAAAATAAAAAGAAGGTCGGACGGAAGTATCACAGCGGGTTAGGCCGGTGGTGGTTCTCCGGCGAGATTGTAACACCATATATATATATATATATATGAAAGGAGGAAAAGAGGAAAAAGTTACTTTAGGGTTAGAAGAGAGGGTATTTGCTATAAAACCAAATATCTAGCTATGTATTATAATTAGTTTAAAATATATTTATTTAGATAAATATAGTGTATAATTTAGTTATACCATGCAAAATTTCCTAAAAAGTATGGATTAATATCCACTTTTAACCCGCTCCCCGTTTTTGACCCACTTAAATTTTGACCCGTCCAACTAATTTCTCGGTTAGGATATATTTAATAATATGACAAATCTCTCTCACAAATCCTTTATTCGGTGGTCAATATTGATGGAGGCTCGCCTCTGGTATTTTGTGTGATAAGAATGTGCCACCGAAACTTAAAAGTAAGTTCTACCAAATGGTGGTCACACTGATTATGCTGTATGGGGTTGTGTGTGGGTCAGTCAATAACTCCGATGTCCAAAAGATGAAGGTAGCAGAAATAAGAATCTTGAAATGGACGTGTGTGTATACCAGGTTAGATAAATTCAGGAATGAAGATATTCGGAAAACTGTGGGCATATCACTTGTGGCGGACAAGATGCGGGAAACGAGACTTAGATGGTTTGGGCATGTAAAGAGGAGAGGCATCGATGCCCTAGTGAGGAGGTGTAAGAGGTTGGCCTTTGTTCCAGCTTAGGCAAGACATGACGATGTTCCCGTTTACCGAGGACATGCCCCTTGATAGGAAGATGTGGAGGTCGAGAATTCGGGTAGAAGGTTAGGTGACTAACTGTTTTCTATTTTCCTTGTTCATACCAGTGGTATTAGTGTGCTACATAGTGTTAGTCTTGTATTTTCTTATTCTTATATTTTTCTGTTATCACTTGTTGTTTCGTTTACTTCGATTTTCTGATTGGCGTGCTGGTGTTATTACTTGTTACTCATTTCTTCTTATTTTTCCTGAGTCGAGGGTCTATCGGAACAGTCTCTATCTTTTTTAAGGTAGGAGTAAGGTTTGCGTACACACTATCCTCCTCAGACCCTACTTGTGGGACTACAATGGGTTTGTTGTTGTAATATTAATGAAGAGAGTATATAACATTTGTAAAGCTTGTCTAAGAATATTTATTTGATAAGTAATTTGAAATTTCTTTTATTGTTCTGTTAAAAAAATTGGCAACCATTACAACAATATCCTAGATCCGCTTTTGATGTTTCCTTGTTTTCTAACATCCCTTGACTTATGTTTTTCCACCCAAAAAAAAAAAAAAATATTCAAAAGTTAGTTAGGAAAACTATAACTGTCAACCTCAAATTAGTATTTGGTCATCCGTTGTTCCCGCTAAAAATTTGTCCCTATCTTGTTCCTATGTTAGTGGTATATATGTGTTTATTATTATTGTATTCCCAAGCCTTGGGAACTCACCTGCAATTACAAATATCAACTACTACCAAAACTTGGGATTCCCCAAGCTGCAGGTGGTAGCAGAAATTAACTAACAAAAAAGTTATTCTGCTACCATAATAAAACAAAAGAAATATTAAAAAAAATAAAAAATAATGGCCTCATTTAGTTGTAATTCAGTTATTTTTCTCTTTTCCCTTTTATTTATTGCTTCTTTAATCCCAAACTTGCATGCCAATATTGCTGAATTTGATCCTTATTTGGAAAAGAAAGCTGAAGAAGCCCTCAAGTCCTCTCTTGCTGCTTATAATGAAAATCCTGAAGAACTCACTGATACTTTCAACAAAGAAGTTGGAGAGTAAGTTTTTTTTTTTTTTGAACAAATGGTTCTTGGTCTAAGGGTCTCTTGGTTTGTGGGTTGATCAAAAGCTTTTTTTTAAGGAAAAAGGTCAAAAATACCCCTCATTATCCGAAATATGTTAAGTTTACCATCCGTAATACTTTGGGACCTTTTAAAGGTAGCGCAGTGCATTAAGCTCCCGCTATGCGCGGGTCCGTGGAAGGGCCGGGGAAGGGTCGATCATACCCTTATCGTTACCATAATGAAAAGTACATGGGTAAATTTAGACCCCCCCCCCCCAGCCCCCACCCCACACCTCCGCCCGCCCGAGTATTTTGACATATGGAATCTACTTAGACCACGTTGGAGCTCCATTAAAAGCAAGCGCAAATATGAAATGATTTGCTAACGACAAAGGTATGAATAGCCCCGGGCTGGAAGTATAATGGAGGGTAAAATTAAGATATTTTGTATAATAGAGTGGTAAAATTTGGACACCTTCAGTTTTTTTAATTGACATTAGTTATTGTCCAACATTGCAGAACAATTTTTAATGGCACAAGGAGGCATCTGAAGGAAGAAGATAAAGATGATAAGGATGACAATGATGGTTGCAAGGCCTACAATCCAATTGACAAATGTTGGAGGTGTGACAAAAACTGGGCTAATAACAGGAAGGCATTAGCAGATTGTGCTAGGGGATTTGGCCATGGCACAACTGGTGGTAAAGACGGTAAATTCTACGTTGTCACCGATCCCTCGGATGATAATGTGGAAGAGCCAAGGCCAGGAACCCTTCGCCACGCTGTCATCCAAGAAGAGCCGTTGTGGATTATCTTCGAGAAGTCGATGATAATCAGGTTGCAGCAAGAACTGATGATCAACAATGATAAGACAATTGATGGCAGGGGAGTTTCCGTTCATGTTGCATATGGAGCAGGATTAACCATACAATTTGTGCACAATGTGATTGTCCACAACATTAGAGTTCATCACATTCTTTCTACCTCAGGTGGTATGATCAGAGATTCTATTGACCATATTGGTCTTAGGACAGTGAGTGATGGTGATGCTATTTCCATCTTTGGTGCCAACCGTATCTGGATCGATCATTGTACTTTAACCAAGGGTGCTGATGGCCTCGTCGATGCAATCATGGCTTCCACTGCTATCACCATTTCTAACTGCAAATTCAATCATCATAACGACGTAAGTTATTCTTTCTCCTACTCTTAGTAGGGACATTTTCAACAATAAGGTGTCTAATGAAAAATTCAACCAAGTTTAGGGGGGTTGTCGATGTGTATTTGGCCTAATAACAATAAATGATGATTCAGGTGATGCTTTTGGGAGCAAATGATGCCTTTCCTCAAGATAAAATCATGCAAGTTACAGTTGCATTCAATCGGTTCGGAAAGGGATGTATTCAGAGGATGCCAAGGTGCAGGTGGGGATTCTTCCATGTTGTCAACAACGACTATGCTAAATGGGAAATGTATGCAATTGGTGGCACTGCTAATCCCACCATTATTAGCCAGGGTAACCGATTCAAGGCTTCCAACAATCCAAACACTAAAGAGGTATGCTTAGCATTCTAATTACTTCTTTTTTTTTTTTTTACAAAAATAGTGGTGTTTGTCGGTGATTTCACCGAGTATATGCTACCTCCAATCAGCACATATACCAGATACTATCTGCTTACCAAGGCTTAAGCATATGTGAAAAAATCAACCTAGTGTTTCTTGTCCAATCACATTTTGATATGTCCTATTAGATTGTCCAATCACATATGTGACCAAGAGGTCACGGGTTCGAGCCGTTGAAACAAACTCTTGCAGAAATGCAGGGTATGGCCGCGTACAATAGACCCTTGTGGTCCGGCCCTTCCCCAGACCACGCACATAGCGGGAGCTTAGTGCACCGGGCTGCCCTGCCCTATTAGATTGTAGCATAAGGCTAACATAAACACTTTTTCAGTTAAAACAGTAGAGAGTCATTATTCCCCTTTTGGGGCTTATTGCATGTGAATTGCTAACATAAAGTATGCTAAATGAAGGTGACAAACCGGAATGGCGCCCCAGAATCTCTGTGGAGAAACTGGCAATGGAGATCTGAGGGTGATTTGTTCTTGAACGGAGCCTACTTTAGGGAGTCCGGACCAGATATCAAGCATACTCCATTCACAGAAGATACCAGCATCAAGTTTGAGCCTGCTAAATTTGTCGGCAGACTCACTCGCAAAGCTGGTGTAATCAAGTGCAAGATTGGAAAAGCATGCTAGCCAATGTTCTATATTTATGTACATAATACTAATATATAAACCATATGTACATTTCACTTTTTGGGGTTGACATGGAGCCGAAGATTTTTTTGGGGGTTCTTTTACAGTAAGAGAAGAAAGAAATGGCTGAGACATCTATCTGTTGTCTCGTTGTTTTCTCAGTTTTTTTCTACTGTTTTTTCTTTTTTGCTTTTTCCTGGCTGGTTTGCTCTATAGGGAAAAACAGTTAGGAGAGGGAGAAAAGGAAAAAAGTGGGTTCTGGTGAGAGATCAAGTTTACTTTTTGTAACAGAAAATTTTGATTTATGATTTTTAATAAATGTAAATTTCCCTGTTTGAATTTCAATATAGGCTACATGTGTCCCCAAGAGTGAAATTTATTGTATCAACCCCTATTCTTTTACATAGTAATAAAGGCATAATGCTGATATATTTATACTTTGTTTAAGAAAATATGGATTTCAAGAACAGGTATATGCAGCAGAACCTATCAAATAGAAACTCTTCTCTGTCATTTTTCCATTCCGTCAATCATGTTATTTGTCACGGTTTTATATTCAAGACACAGATTTTCCATATCTTTATAGCAATTGATCCAAAGTTTTCAATCGAACAAACATTTAAAACGAAGAACTATCAGAAAAGAAACAGAATATTGGATTAATTGATATATGTGAACAAAGTCAGACATTAGGAATTTCCTTACAAAGAGCTATCTTCTTTTGAAGTTGTTTTTATGAAGACATGTCCGAGCATTGTGCCCTTTCCCTAAGCACACACTGCAGCTATAAGTTCTCTTTGCCCGAGTAGTAATTGTAGCAACAACTTTAGTCTCTTTCTTCTTTTGATTGCATGTCCTTCTATTATGGCCAGTTCTTCGACACTTGCTGCAATGATGGTTAATCTTGACCATCTTCTTAGGTACAATTAAGCTCGACTTTAAGCAGGTTCTTCTGTTATGACCCTTTGCTCCACATAATCGACATCTATAACGTCTATCTGTATTGTCTCGAATTTCTGGACAGTAGTTACTCCTATGCCCTTCCTGTCCACAATTTCTACAGTAAAATTTCACTCCTGCAATTAGAAAAATCAGCTATTATCTTCTTCTTGAAGAGAAACATGCTCTCATTAAACAATTCTCAAACAAAAAAGCAGGCTGCATCTCGGATTCAGTATAAACAGAAGACCTTAATGAGAGCACTACTTGATATTCAGGAAAATGTACCAAGACATTCGCTTTACTGATAACTGACAAGGATAATAATGTGATCTTTGTCAAATCCAAACACCCCCACCCCCCTAAAGAAAATGCGAATAAGATATAGCGCCAGAATATCAAGAATTATATGCAATAGTTATGCCACAAAAGCCAAATGATGTACTCAACATTTTGTGACAAGTAAATGAAGGGAAACAAGAAAACAATCTTTCCATTGTTTTTCCTTTTTCTCTATCCCAGTCGTACCTTCCACTTACAACTATGATATATCCAAAGAAGAAAACAAAACCACCATTAATTTAAGTGTGACAAGAACAAAACTTTATAGACCTTTCATGGATATACTTCTCTTGCGACGGTTATCTGGATCGCGGAAGTAATCTTTCATGGAATCAGAGGCACGTTTTCTAGCAGCAGGTGTCCCCTTTGCTTTCTGCATAACGAGTATCATGTCAAATTAAAAAAAATCGGTTTGGCTGAAGAAATTTTGAGAAAATACTCTCCCATTTCTACCTCATCTAGTCCAATCATTATGGAGATCTGCGATTTATGTTAGATTTACATCGTGATTGATAACTTTAAATGACTTTTTAACATCTCGCATACTTCTCTCGTAGGAAAAATCAAACCGACATAATCTGTGCAAGGACTTATAATGAGTTAGCAGAACTTGCATAGCTAAAGGTCAATCATTCAGATATGAAGCTGACAAGTCAAACCTTAATAGCAGCTACTCTTTGTGCATGAAGCGTGGGATCGCCATGGATAATCTTCATCCTCTTACTAAATAGCCCAGTCTTGGCATTTAAGCTCTGCAATCATCCAACTAAACAAAAAAGATTATATTCAAGAATTGACGAATGCGCCTGAAGTTTAAAATTTTGCATAGGTATTCAAAGAGTCATCCAAATGAAAGGTTCACTACATTGTCCATGCAATAATTATGAAATAGAAACATCAAAATAAGGAAACCAAGTGACAAAAGTTTGATTGAAGAAGAATTATGCTAGTGGAGAGGGAAACTAGGGTGCTAACAGAAAAATGAATACTAACTTTTAATGATCTGCTGATCTTCAAATTGACTTCTGTATTTGGAGACTGGTAGACACGCTTAGTTTTCCTCTTCGAGTCAAGCTTTATGTCTAAGTTGTCCACTTCATCGTCTTCCTTTACTTTTAAAGGGGAACTGAAAAAGATCATGTAGGCTTCTTATAGAGCAGTGTTAACTAAATATGCTTGTATAATACAAATAGGATGAAAGAAAGGTTACAACACAAGATGCCTGATGCAGAATATAAAACAATGGTTAAGTAACTCCTTCGACTACATAAAACGTAATGCCATACTTAAGCCAAATATGGCAAGGTAAACATGTTGGTATACACCGAGTTGCACAATGATGAACTTGATTATAGAGCAAACTTATGCACTCGATGTAATAATATTACAGTGAGAACACATGACTTCGGCAAAATGGAATCTAATAGAAACGTGAGGCAGGAAATATTTACCTTGATCGAGCTTTCTCCCAAGGCCTTTCATCAATAGACTCTTCCCAAATGACACAATCTCCACCGCACTGATGACAAGTCATCATACCCTGCCATACACGAAAACTTCTATTAAGGACATAGGCACATAGCTCTGGTATAAATGAGCATCACATCGATATTCCAATTGACATATCAAGCTTATATACAGGTAATGCTAGAGCTTAATACACATGATCCAGAAAAGAAGTTACCTTTCCATTACACAATGAACAATCTAAACTGGATCGCTCTATTCCACATTCAATACATGGAGTGTAGCCCCTTCCTCTGCAGCTTGGGCAAGGCAATTCTCTTATATATTGGCCATTTGGGCCAAACCATGATCTTGGACTCGAAGCACTAGAAATAACTTTCCTGGAAAATGATAAAACACAGGTCATAGGAATGCAGATAGCAGATAGATAGTTAACTTACTCAATATGTAATTACGAGTAGATAGGGGCTGCTTATCATGAGGATGGGGACTCACTATCTTATTAGCAAGAGAAGAAAAAATATAGGCGTTTCAAGGAACAAGATGCAATACCCTATATTAAATTGATGAAGGAAGGTGATTGGAAAACTTTACAAACATCACACAGACAGCAAATAGAAACACTACTACGGCAACAACATAGATCATGAAATAATGCAAGTCGAACCTCATGGAGCACGTGGACTATTACTAAAATTTCAACAAATATTAAATTCTGAAACCATAATTTCAAACGTGCAATGGATTTAATGGTAAGAATTAAAAGGTTGACCTCTTCAAGTTTAAATTCTGAATCAGCCTTTAAATACAACCAATTAAATAGAAACAGAAGAAAAAGAAGAAGCTAAAACCTTGGCTGCAAATCAGCAGCAAGTCCAAAGAGCTCCTCTGAAGGGTCATACATAACCTGTTAATAGAACACATGAAATGTAAGCCCTCTTATCATACAGTATTTCAAGAAACAAAAGGTTAATTTCACCTATAGTCATTTAACTTTATCCACTTTAAAGTTAAAGTCACAGTCGCATTAAAAGTAATTGAACTTTATTCACTATAACAGTTAAACTTTTGACATTGTAACAATAATGTCGCAATTATATTTTGATGGTGCGTTTACTTGGAAGGGGAGCCTTGGAGCAACGATAAAGTTGTTTCCGTGTGACCTATAAGTCACGGGTTTGAGCCATGGAAGCAGTCACTAATGCTTTTATTAAGGTAGACTGTCTATATTACACCCTTTGGGGTGCGGTCCTTCCCCGGACCCTGTGTGAACGCGACTTGGAAGGGGAGCCTCGAAGCAACGGTAAAGTTGTCTATCTATAGATCACGGGTTCGAACCATGGAAGCAGCCACTAATGCAAGCATTAGGGTAGACTGACTGTACTTCTCTTGACCCTACGTGAACGCGGGATGCCAATGTGTGTCGGGCTACCCATTACCCACTGTAACAATTAAGTCACTAAATTTTACCCATTATAACGATACACCAGTATACTTCACCACTAAGTAAAGTTGATAAACTTTACCACTATAGTTTTGTGACTATACTGTCCCTAAGTTACTAAACTTTAACTACTATAGTTTAGTTACTATAATTTCATAATCAGTGAAGCTCCAGCTCAGTTGCTTTAACATGACAAAAATATTTGTGTGACTTTAGTGTTATAATCTTTAACTTGACCAAAAATAATATTGCGACTTTAAAGGTATACTGGGTAAGAAACAACACATTTCATCTCATTTCTCTACCATAGGTTAGTATATGTCTATATAAAAACAGAAGAGACTAAAAAAATAATAGTACCTGATTTTGTTTGATGGGTTTGACAGAATCATCATCAGTAAAAGAAGAGAAGATTGGAAAATAGAGGAAGTTAAGTTTTGTTTTAGAAGGAGGCAAAATCCAGTAGTGCAAGTTCTTGTTACAGTATCTCCACTGAGGCAACATTACCCGAAATGATGAACATAATGCTGCTGACATTCTTGCTATAGTTCATGGAAAAACAATGATAGATTATCTTGAATTGAAAGAGCAGAGAGTTGTGATTTTTTAGGAGGTATATTATGTGGATGCAAAGTAGACAACAAGATTTCATTGTTCTATCCTCTGCTTTTGGTCTTAAATGTTTTGGATAATGGGCTCCACATATACTTTCCCATCTACTGCTCACATTACATATTGCATGGTTATCCTACGGTTGCCAAAATATACAAATGAGGAAGAGCTTATCCGAAAAAACTTTAAACTTTTTTTTTTTTTTTTTTTTGTCATGTCACTTAAAGGTTACAAGATATTTTGCTAAAAATAAGACAGGAATTAGTAAATAAAAAATATTTTATTTGACGAAAAAATCATCTTAATGTAGTTTTGTTAGAAAAATGCATTTTTGTAATATAGATAAAATATTATCATTATTTTTCAATTTTCATATAGTTGAATGCATTTTTGTGGGTCACATACTCACATGGATAAATATAGTCTTTTTGGGGGGATTTCGTGAATTTGAAGCTTGTACTTAAATACAAGTAGTGTAAAATGATATCTAATTCCATAAATTTTTATACTGCTTTTGCCAATTATGGGAAGTTAATTTCAGGTTAGTTGTCACCTCTTTAAGTTTGTTATAGTGAAATCTACACCGTATAGCCATTCAAAAAATTTAGGAAAAATAATATTGTATAGTCGCTCTCAAAATAATAGTTATAGCAAAGGTTGATATCTTATTTATTATAAATAAATATTCTTTTAGAAAATTATCTCCTATAGCTACCTTTTACTTTTTATAGCAAAATATCTATGTATGGTCACTTCCTACCTTTAAGCCATTAAATACACTGTGTATTATTTTTCTCTCTCCCTCTCTCTTCCCTCTCTCCTCCTTTCTCTTTCATCTTTCTTCTCTTTTTCCCTCGGTTTTTTCCTCTCCTGCTTTTAGAAGCCCTAGCAGGGGCTGTGTTCCGCCAACGATATATTCGGCCGACGACCACTTCCCCCCTTCCTTGTGGTGTCACCCATAACCCCCTCCTTCGGCCGGTGATTTCTTTCACACAGTTGGGTTACACATTCTAAATTTTTCTTAGATTTTGCATTGATTGTTCATGTGTGCCTTGTGAGATCTGAAGAAGTTCTGTCTCTAGTTTCCGTCTGATCCTTTAAATTGGTGCTTCTTCAACAACTGTCTTCATTTAACCGGCGGCGGCGCCCCACATGGCGACGGCCTGGATATCGGTGGATTGGGGACGGAGTTTGGGGCTGAGGAACTTGAAGAGTCTGTTAACTTTTTTTTCATTGTATTTCAATGTATCTCGTTGTATTCCATGTATTTCATTGCATTCACTGTCTTTAGTTTTTTCTACTTTTTAAATATATTCATTGTATTTAACTGTATTCAATGTAATTATATAATTTCAAAGCATCACTTTATTTCACCTTTTTGTCCAGCAGTATATATTCAGCAGTATGTATTCAATGTATTGTATAATGTAATATATGTTTTTTTAATTAATATAATTTATGATTTAGATGTATATATGTATTCAAATGCATCTGCAGTATGTATTCATATGTATTTGCACTATAGATGACTTGTTATACTTCATGTATTCAATGTATTTTTATGTATTTAACTGTATTCAATGTAATTATATAATTTAATATATAACTCTATTTGTAAAGATACCACTAAAAAATATTTTAGTAAAGATACCACTAAGAAAAGAAAGGATGGATTGAATTTCTGAAGATTGCTCTATTTTTGGGGTGTTTTTCGGTTGAGAATCTTTTCTATAACTGGAAATACAAATTTTGCGTGTTATAATAGAGTTTGTTGGGTTATATTAGGAGTATCGCGTTAATTGATTCAGTTACCGTTTTTAAACAGCTGAAGACCTTTTTTTCCGCAAATTCCATTACTGTATTCACGAATACAACTCTCGAATACATTCTCTGCTTAGCTAGACTCCCCTGTTTTTCGCCGAATTTTGCTACTGTATTCATGAATACAGTAGCAAAAATACATCGAATACAGTCTATAACAACTGAAAACATAGCTATAGGGTAATTTAGTAAATGGTAGCTATAGCAAGCTAATAATCACTAAAACATAGTGGTTTCTGAAAATTTCTCATTTCTTTATAGGGATACTTACACCCCTTATCACTTGGCCCAACAACCCATCATAAAATGGCCCATGCTTGAAGCCCTTACCCAGTGTAACCCAGGTTGTACATAACCTGAAAATTTCTTTTCACCAATTAGCCCGTCTCTTTTTTCTTCATTCTTCTTCTTCTTCTTCCCGTGTCACACCTTTGCACCCCAAAATTTCTCTACCATTGTTATTCTCCTTCAATTCTTCTTCCAGATTCAAAGCTAATAATCACTATTTTGATGAAGAAGAAAACCAATTTGCAAGAGAATTAATTATTTGGAGTCATGTGAAGATCACTTCCTCGATTGGAATGGGAGAAATGTGTTTATTGTCATGCACTAAAGAGGTTCACAATTAGTAGGTTGATGGATCATCAAACTAGAAAAAAGGTGTCGGCAGTGTCTCGGCCTTATCCTTATTCCACATGTAATTTTGATCCCATTGGTTAACTAAAAATTTGAAAAATAAAAGTCACCATTAAAGGTGGTTCAAAGATTCGATTTCAGAAATTGGGTCTTTTTGAAATGGGTGTTGTCCCAATTGATTGGAGTCATCAAGAAGAGTTCAAAATTAAATTTCAAGTGATTTGGAGTAGATTTAAGCTAGATTTGAGTTAAAATTTCAGAGGATGCCCAAGGAAGAAGAAGAACCCGTGAAGCTCCATTGATAGGATTCATTTGCATAATAATGTATAAAACAGTGTATAATAGTGTACAAGGAAATTAACAAATTTAATCCGCATGACTTCTCTCTCGGCACACATTTAGCCAAGGTAGGCTAACTTGGACCGGTGATGGCAAGACGGCGGAAACAACCGGCAATGGCGAGCTCAATTGTAACTCTGGCGACCATAGGACAACAAGCATTCACTCCATTAACGTTTGGTAGCTTTCTTCCAGCTCGATTTCACCCAATTCGAGAGGAAAGTGAAAGCAATTCTAAGAAGGAATGTAACAGTGAAAATCAATGGAACAATGCAGATGTAATTGCGGAGAAGGAGATTCAGAAGAGCAAGAGTCAAATACCAACAGTACCTCGAAGATTACAGTTCTCAGAGGCAGGATCATCTGTGCAACCTTCCCCAACCACAGATCCACAAGCACCAATAGTTCAAGGAGAAAACATGCTGAATCAACATGCAAAAGATCTAAGGCAACAAAATCGCAGTTCTTAGATGGCCATGCGACTGGATTATGTGCCTCCTAGCCATCGAGATGGTAAGATTGTAGTTCAAATTGTTGAAAAAGATGTTCAAAAACTAAATGACTACTGGGCTACTGTCTTAAATTGGCTATGTCCTAGGTGATTCTCCATACTTTGTCTAAATTATGCAGGAAAGGTTAAAGAAGTATTGGTCCGGGAACGAGAAGATTACAGAGGAAAAATTAGAAAAATAGACAAGCTAAAGCAGAGTAAAATATGGTGCTAAAGAAAGACGTGATATGCCATGACAAAGGACAACCGACTCACAACCGGCTACAACAAACTATAACCGACTCACAACCGGCTACAACAAAATATAACCGATCCATAACCAAAGAAGCTCATAACCAAGCATAACAAGGCCACAACCAGCCATAACAAGTTCATATCCAAGAGTGTATTGAAAAGTTTGTTATGGCTTGGCTATAAAAGAGGCATCAATCGTGAAATGAAAGAGGGGAGCGAGGAAGGAAACGAGGAGAAGTGAAATATTGAGCAGAAAGCTTTTCCTTTCTCTTTGTTCTTTACTTTTATTTCTTTTTCATCTTTTAGCCATTACTCTGGCTTCATTTCTTGTTCTGAAAAAATTGTAGTATTGGAAATTACTCTAGTTCCTGTTTTTAATTAAATAGGAGGAATTATTCTCTTGAATATTTCTTTCTATTTTCTTATTTAATGGGCAAGATTATTTCCGTTGTCGGTATTGGCTCCAATATGGAGTAACTTTTCTTGTGTTGGGAAAATGACGGATCTTAATATTTTTATATAATAGTAGTAGATATTATTCTTCAATTTCACATGCTTGAGCTGAAGCTTTGTATTTAAATTTTATCTGCTTTATAGTTGGGTGTTATTTAATTTGTTAACATCTATCTATTTCGTACTACATATTAACTTCTTACTAATTCTGTAATCGAAAGAGGCAGAAGAAGTAATACTTAATTTTGGTATTGATAGATGTTAACCTATATTTAGTGACATCTAGCTCATATATGTTAAAATTGATTCTACACTTATTTGTAATCGAAAGAGGCGAATATTGTAGTAATCAGTTATAACAAGTAGGGTAACCGAAAGGGACTTACTAAAAAAGGAGCATACTTTAGTTCAAGTATATATTTCTGGTTCTTTAATATTACTATTTTAACGATTAATTTGTATAACCGAGAGGAGTGCATTTGATTGTTCAACTATAGTAATAATATACAAATGTAATCGTGAGAGGCATTTATACATTTATGAGAAATAGAAGTTGAAGGATAAATGTATCTACTATATAATAAAAATATTAAGTGAAGTCAGGATCCCAACACCTTTTTATTATATTTGTGAAAAACAAAAAATATTTTCCCCATTCGTGCATTTTTTGTTAGTTAATTCACAACTCAACTCTTTCTGATTTTCTCAAATAGTAACCAAAACAAGAAACGTCTGTAGAATAGATAAACCAATCTCTGTGGGTTCGACATCTTTCTATACTATTATTTGACAGAGTACGAGTTAAAATTTTATATACGCTAGACACTCGTCAAATTTTTGGCGCCGTTGCCGGGGATTGGCTAAAGTCTACTACAAATTAATTGTTTCACTACTAATTTGAGATTTTTTTTTGTCTAATCATTTTAACTTTTCTACAGAAATTTCAGAAAGTGTATGACCCGTTCCTCTTCTAGAGAACTAGTCAAATACGATCCTGAAATTGAAAAATCTTTACGGTTGTTGCGAA